ATGTTTCTATAAAAGCGTTTCTTTTTGTGTTTGATGTGTAGATCAAATGAAATCATGTCAAGACATTTGGAGTAAAACAAGGTATGTCTATTGTATAAGTAAAAGTGTATAAATAATTAAAAACTAATAAAATCCTTGTATCCCTTTAAAAAAGCCAACGTGAAAACACGACCTACAGACTCTTCATTGATAACAAAACAACAGACATTTACTGTCATTTGACTGATGACATCTGTGGAGGTGGGGGATGGACGCTGGCCATGAAAATCGACGGCTCAAAGGTACAAATTTGAAAATTTGAGCCTTGTTAATCTATATATTGCAATCACAGTCACATGTTTTGACGAAATTGCTGTAACGCTCAAAACATTTTGTACTGAATGTTTCACTGATGATTTTCAGGATGATTTTCGCTACAACGCGGTTTTATGGACCAATAAGGAATCCTACAATCTGACGGCCGGTCAAACCGGTTTTGATAACAACCAAACCAAGATGCCAAGTTACTGGGCGATGCCTTTTGACAAACTGTGTATCGGTTTGAAAGTTAATGATACCCTTAAATGGACTGTTATCCCATATAAGGCTTCATCTCTCTATGACGTCATTGCTGATGGAAAGTATCGACCAACAAACATCAGTAAAGCCAAATGGTTGTCCCTGATTGATGGAGCCGGGCTGCAGGAAAATTGTAACAAGGAAGGGTTTAATACGGGTTACAAGCAGAGCGGTTATCACCGCATTGGCATAATTTCCAATGAACAAAACAATTGTAATAGCGTTGACAGTTCTCTTGGGATAGGAACGGCGAAGAAGATCTATGATCACGAAATTCCTTTTTCTTGTGGCAATTTTTGTAAGCATGGTACATCATGTAAAAGAACTGAAATTACTGCCTTTGGTTATATCATGATACAGTAGAACTATATTGCCGCCTTAAATCCTTGACGAGATCAAAACCCAGTATCACTTGTGGGCGATCCATTAGAATTGTATATCGACTAACTAAATCTTGTGCTTTCTCTTGTCTAGGTGTTACTACGTTACATAGTTTGCTAACACAGTTGTGCAAATTACTTATAATAATGTTTAATGCCAGCAATTTTAGAAAGTATTTTTCATGTTTCCATTCACGCGGGAATGTTGAGAGAATCGAGTGATTCAAAACCTTTTCGAGTGTTCTGTCAACAATCAAGTGTTCTGTTCTAACCATGCTAACAGAGAATGCGGAAAACACGGAAAATATCGGCTTCTTGAAAGCCATGTTTCTATACTCTCAAAGAAACACAAGTTGTTGTTGTTGTTGTTGTTGTTGTTTTTTGCATATTTCTGCAAATCAGTACGCTTGCTATATATAACACTTGTTTTATCTCACGGATGTAAAGAAAAATAATCAAAAAATTCAATGTTTTCCATTTTCCATTTCCCTACCAATTGCTGCTGTGAGTCTGGGCCAAGTTGGCCTCCTTTCACTATGACGTCAGAGACAGAGCATGTTTATTCGCTGACTGAAAACATTTCAGCACAAAATGTGTTTTCTTTCTCTTCTACCCCCTCCGGCGCCTTTAAATTTTGATTTAAAGCCTAGTGGCAAGTTCATACTACTTAATTACTAAGACACTTTAGTCATTATTGGTAATCATGCGTTTTGAAGGCGATTGGAATTTGATTCACTGATTGTAAAATTCATCGCAAAATTCACGGGGAGACTTATTAGGGTTGCAAGTAGCTTAAAAACTGGACGAGTTTGAAAATAGAGGGGAGTACCGAAAGTGACCGGTTGCCTTGGTGATCTCCTTTTTTTCGAAAAATCTTATGAATATTAATATCAATTTGAGTTT